TTTTATAGAGTGATCATTTAAATTTGTTGTTCATTTGACTTTTTTGTTCAAAGCATTGTGACTGAAGTTGGGAGAAACCCTTGGATCTCTAAAAGTTCTTCAAATACATTGTGATTTTGACTTTTTATACCAGGCTTTCAAGGCCAGATTCTTTCAAATGTTGTCATTCCCATTGCTTGAGTGCTTAGTCCCCTCTCCTCTGATAACTCTCCTACTTGGCATTTTAACTTCTTCCATCTGATATAAGGTGAATGGCTGGGGAAATGATGAGCACCAAGCGTGTTTTTCTATACTCCATGGTAAAGAAGAGAATTTGCTGGGAGGAAGCTGAGCTGCACCCTGTAAGAGGATGAAGGTGGCTGCACTTCCTGCTCAGCATTCACCCATCACTGCTGCTGTCATCCTAACTTGGGGTGAAGCAGAGGTGTCCATCATCAGGAGTCACTTGGCCAGATCAAATTTACTGGGATAGCAGTCCCAAAACGAAGTGATAATTTTGTTTTGGGCCCAGGTCAGTTCTGAAGGAAAGAGGAAAAAAATCCAACCAATAACTAATGTCTCTAAATTATCTTTTAATTTTCAACAATTCAAAATAATGAGAGTCATGTGACGGTAGAGTGGAAGAAATGGTACAATAAATTAAGCAGCAGCACTTGGAAACAAGATTTCGAGTTGAAATTACTCAGCTAGGTGTGTCATAAAGTCTAGATCCGACGCATCAGCTGTTATTAGAAGGTCAGGAGTAAAATAACTGCAAGTGGTTGTGTTGCCTGAATTATGCCTAAACCAAACCTCCAGACTTAAGTCTGATCTACTGTCAGGTACCAGAATTACTTCTGAGAGACAGTTCATCTGCTTTTGTCCCCCTCCAGTGTCAGCGGGAACAGTAGGTTTCAGAAATCCCATAAAAACATTTGATTTGCGCAACACAATTTCCAAAACTTTAACTGCTATTTCTTTTCCAGCATCTGAGATAGAGTTATTTTAGGATTATTGCCCATGTGAAACAGTACCGTGTTCACAAGAGTCCTTTTTCTTGTTTTCCAGTTTGCTGAAAAATCCTGGCCTTGCAGTAAGGCAGCTGACTCACTTCCGGTTCAACAAAAAACTTTGGGAATGGCCTCTGTGTCAGGTTAGTCCAAATTATAACTTTACTAGCTTCACTCCAGCTAACCCTCTACTTTCTTGTTTTGCCAAAAGTCAGCCAGACCTTTCTTGCTGTTTTCTACCGTCTTTTTAAAAAGCATTAAAGATTATAAAGAATACATATTGCTCTTCAGTATTCCAGCTCACAGTCAGTGAAGGATGATGGATGACAGGATTTGACTGTGTGGCTGTCCATCTCCAGTGATACTTCTCTCAATTTTTCAGGCACTTTCGTGGGTCGAAGCATACCAGTTGAAGTAGATGAATCCCTGTCGTGGTCCCAGTTACCTGAACATGTCTTGGAAAAGGCGTTGCAGCCTTCTGGAGAGGATATGGAGGATGAGGAGGCCCAGAGCTCATGTGTTGCTCGAACACCTCAGGCCCATCCCTCTAGCCTTTGCAGAGCACAAGCACATCATCATTCAGCACCGTCCGTGGAGCCAGACAGCAGCTTGTGGTCAAAATATACTGATCCTGATGGAGGTGGACACTCCTGTTCCCCTGGTGAATCAATATCAGGAGTATTTCCCTCGCAGACACATTCTATAGCTGTGGACAAGCCAGGCATGCAGCCAAGATCGCAGCTTTCAGCTGACACCAGGCACAAGTCCAGTAAATCAGAGCAGATCTTGTCTGATGTTCCTGAGGACTCACTGGAGGAGAGCAGCCAAGGGCGTTCACAGTCACAGCAACCCTCAGCAAACAGACTCCTGGCAGAGCTGGGGACTGTAGATACCGGGTACAACTCCCAGTCCCAAGACGTCATGGGCATCAGGCACCTGGAGCCCCCGTTACCGCTGGTGTCTGTGCTGAACCCCCAGGACCTCCCAGGACCACTGATCTCCAGGGAGTTTTTGGGACCTGAGCAGCAGCAGTGCCCTATGTGCCACCACTTGCCCCATCCCAACACGCCCTCGCAGGCCCTCGGCTGCCTCAGGCACATCTGCCCGGCGCAGCAGCCCCCGCCAGGCCCATGTGAGTAGCACCTCTCGCCCCACAGGAGGTTCTCTGGCTGTGTCTCAGCCATCGTTCACCAAGGGCGTGTTTCCAGCACAGCATGCAATTATTGAGCTCTTTAAACATTTAATTGCAGTCCATTTTACAGTTTTGGATTTTTGGGTTATGTGGCTGGACTCTCTGCTGCAAAACCTCTGAACCTCTTAAGTTAAAGAGGTCGCGGTTACTCATCGAGTGCAGGCGAATGATTTTGCTTAGAAACCAGCCTTTGTCGGTCACGCTGAGCATGCACAGCCTCTCCCTGCTGTTATTTCATATTCTAGTCATTTCCTTCCTCCTTGCATCAGTCCTTCGGCAGCCTCCTATACCCACTCAATTCCTGTTGTTTTCATAGATTTCCCTGCTCCCCCTTGGATCCCCAAAGTTGAGAATTTCCTGCCAGGATCAGGATGGGAGGTTACCCTTGATCTCCATAAATAGTATCTCCCAGCGCTATGACCAGACTCACCCATGTGTTTTATTTCTATGTGAAAAGAGCGTGACATCCATCATCCTAATTTTTTTTTCTGTTGTCAGCTGAAATGAAAGCTCATTACTTAAAATGGAGCCCTCTCAGCTGCTGGTGATTGTGTTGCTGAGCGCTGATGTGACTCCCTCAATATGGGCGTTCTGGCTCTGGGAGACTACAGTGCAGTTTGCAGCCTGCTATTAATTAGTATTCCTTTTCAGTCTCTGAGATTTTTATCTGTTATGAAGTGATCTTTGAACATTCAACAGCAATATCATTGTTTTAATATAATTTATATTACATTAGGCTCATGAGACCCTGACCTGTTTTGGGCTGGCTTTGTAATAAAAAGCTGTAGGCCTGTTCTGATAAACCTTTTTTGTTTTTTAACCTTTTTTTGACTCCACAGCATTTATATTGCATCTGCTTAAGGAGTTTTGTCATTTCAGCCATGTGCTATAATTAGGTATATGAAAGAGAAGGGTTTCAGAAACTCAGTTTCCAGCTCTGATTTTGGAACTCTGCAAAGGGGAAGGGGCTACAGATGGGCTTTCAACAACATCTACAGCTTAACATTTGGAAAATGTCCTCTGGTTTTCCTTTCCTACCTTCTCCTTTCAGTTCAGCTCTAAGCAGACAAAGAGCTGGTTGCACAACACCCCTCACTATTTACCTCAGTTTACCTCCTCCACAAGCAGGCATCGTGAGAAGTAGGACATTTACTGAATGAGGACATTTTGTTTGAAAGCAGAAACTCTGAAAGGCTTTCTTCAGAAAAATCACTACCATTCCAGCCATATCCAGAGGGCAAAAAGAGTAAAGTAAACTCAGATGGCTGGAGCAGATTTGGTCAGGACCAAGAAGCTGGCAACTGTACTCCCGTTTCTCACATGCCTGCTGCAGCGTAAATCACCTCCTGACAGCTCCGTGTGTCTCAGATAATTGTCGGGCAGTGGCAACCCACAACAAAGCTCTGCACCTCCCCTGGGGAATAGCAACTGTGCCCGGAGGCTCTAAGCTGGCTGGGGCACCTGCTATTTGAGATACAACAACAAAACTGCTTCTTGAAGTCAGAGAAATGTTCACAGCAATGCCGTGTGCTGGGGGCCATAATTTCAGATATTTGTCTTTCAGGGATGTGGGGGTGTGTGGGCACACACGCCTGGCCACGCTGTGCTTTGTGCTGTGGGTGCATCCAATACACTGTAGCAGCAGTCAGATCTAAAGGAAGCTGGTGAAACATTTGCCTTAAAGCCTCCAAACCAAACCGAGTGTCCCAAATCCCTGTCACTTTCCCTAGAGCTGGTCATGAGGGATCCAGGAGGAAACCATATTGACTTGCAGTATCATTCTCCCAGTCCCTTTCACCCTGTCCTGTTGCAAATAGTTAAGAGGGGGGTGGGAAAATCTCCTGAAACAATCTCCTGAAACAATCTCAACAAATACAATGTTGCTGACTCACAATTTCATCAGGAATCTGTGTAATTATGGGGTTGGTTGGAGGGTTTTTTTCCTTTAGTGTTGGCTCCTGGAATTGGAGTATTCCATTAAAGCTTTGTTTTCTTTCTTTATCCTCCCCTTAAAAAAAATAAAAAAGATAGATGGTCCTCATGGCTAGGGAAAGGAAGGCATGACCCAAAAAAAGCTAAAAGGATTTTAAAAACCAGTTTTGGGGGAAAAGAGCATTTGAGTACTGCAGTTTTTAGAGACAGCTCATAACACCATAATCATGCAGTGCTAATAAGCCCTGCCAGGCTGGACTTTGATCTGCACACAGCAGCTTGGAAGTGCACAGAGCTGCTGCCTAATGAAAACCACAAGCAGAAAGACTGAGAGGAAAAAAAAAATTCCTTTTCCCCAATTGGGAAACAAACAGCTTACGTTGCTTTCTCTTTCAGTTTATGCCAGCAGTTCCACTGTACAATAGTTATTAATCAGTATTATGTGTGGCTAGCAACAGTAAAGGTTTTCAGAATTACTTGAGCAAAATTATCACTTTGGGCTTCCCCTGCAGCCTCTCGGATGGCAACGGGAGCAGCAGCAAGTCCTTAAAACGTCACTTTGACAGAAAATTCACACAGGGTGAAGCAACAAACTAAGCGATTATTTTTCCTCTTTTCATTTACAATAATCACAGTCTGTTTAGCCTTAGTGTTGCAAACTGATTTGTTCCGGGATTTTGCATCTGCTTTCATGAGAACTTTGGGATGATTCATTTTCACAAGTCATTGCCAAAATGAAATTTAAAAAAAAAACCCTATCAAAAAACACTGAAGCACAGTAAGAACAGGGACAAGGCAGCTCTAAATGTTTAACTGTCAGCTGTCCCAACAGCCCAGCCCCGAGCAGGGATCTGAACCCTGCCGTATGTGGATGGGAAATAGCAAGCTTCAGACTCCTCCAAAACATTCCTTCATCTGGCTCCTTTCAGAGCGAGATACCTGCAAATGCCTCCAAACTGCTCAGTTTCCTGAGACGTGCCTGGAAAGGAATAAACACAAACTGAGGCAAAAATGTGTTGGCTGAAATGATAGTTGCTGCCTTTATTTTCTCACCCTCCCAGATGGCAGAGCTCCTTACCAACATTTTGCTGAGCCATCGCAACCACTTCCTCCCGTTCCTGGACCTTGCATGCGAGTTATCCGCCCGGCCCAGCAAGTCATCCCCAATTACTCAAACCTCCGTGCTCCCAAAGGCACTGGAGACCGACCACCCCAGAGGGCGTGCTCCTCCCCTGGTCCTCCTCCATTCCCGTAAGTATGCCTGGGGAGCTGGGGCCTGTGGGAAGTGCAAGTTCCTCAGATCTCCTTTGTGGGTTTTCAACCAGTAATTCTGAATCCTTGTACTGTGAGATGCTGGGTTGTTTTCTTTATTTGCTGTTTTACACCCAATGGGGGCCTGACCCTTTCCTAAAGGACTTCAAAGCCGGATACCTGAGAGGTTGTCAGAGCACACCCTGAAATGCATGCCTTAAGGAAGATAAATGCTTGAAGGTTAAATGGATGAGAGGGTTGAAAAATATCTCCGTTGAAACCTTAGAGCTCTCCTGCTCACGGGCAAAGGTCAGTTTGGTGGCTCGCTGGGTGTTCAGCTTTACACTGTACCAGCCTGGGACAACTCAGTCACTGGCTTCCAGTGACTTCCTTCTTACATCTTCTGTGTGCAGAGAAAAAGGGAGGAAATCTCATCTGTTGCTGATATATCTCTGCACTGCAGTTTGCAGCCTTGTCTATGATTTTTCATAGCAAAATGTCTGGCACTTTTCATCCAGGGCTTTTTGACTAATATATTTTCAGATATTAATTACCAGGCCTTCGATTCTTATAAGTATCTCATTAGCAGATGGGAAATCCTATTCATGCAGGGGTTCCTTCAGACTCAACTATCTAAAAACAAATTGAAGCTTCAGGTTTTGAGAATATCTGAAATCAGACTGTTTTTATTCAAGTGCCACAATACTTATAGAGATGTTAAACTTGCAGGCATCTGTGCTTGAAAATGTCCGCTTACGTGACATGGTCTTGGCAGGGAACTGTGAGAATGGGCAGGGCAAAAGAGGGCAGTCAGTTGAAATATGATTCTGCTCTGGCCTTTGAAAAATTAAGGACTGTAACAGAAAAGTGACAGCAGGATCAGGGAGTGCCTGCAGCAGAGAGAATTGCACTGAAGAGTTTGTATAAAAATGTAAAAATACTGGGAGATAGTGGGTATCCTTTGCAGTAGTAAAATTTAATACCAAACTCCTGATTTTTGGCACATTTGTTAAATAAGGTGGAGTTTTGGGAAGATCTGTAACTTAGCCACCAGGTAGTATTTTTTGTGGCCATTGATGAGGCATGTGTTGCTTTTGTTAGTACTTTCTTTTGCTACAAGGGATCCAGAATACTCAGGGTCTGTCCTGTGGCTGCGTGGCTGCTGCTTGCAGGCTGACTCCAGGAACAGCAGTTCTATGCTGGTAATGTTTGCCTATAGAGTATTTTGTAACAGAAAACATCTGCACCGAAATGAATAAACCAAATCTTAATGTGACAACAGAAAACATGCTGCGACCAGCCTGTCATCATTCATTTAAGGGAGGCTAAGGAAAAAAAGAGAGTGGTCTTGATTGACTAAGCATCATGGCTCTGTGGGGAAAAGCTCTCAGAGAAACCTAAAACTCATCCAGCAAATTCAACCCAGCAGATTGCAAGCACACCTCGCCTAAAAATCTCTATAGATTCACCTTCTCGTTGACTTAAAATCTGAAGCCAAAGTGTAGGACAAGAACTGCTAAGCTTCCTAAAATCCTCCCTCTCTGTCTGTTTGCTACAATGGAGAAGACATTAGGCAAGGTTATTGCAGGTCTGGAATGCCAGTCCCTGACATGAGAAACTCTTGCTTGGGTCTGTTATTGCTGGTCAAGAAATTAACTGTGTTCCCTTTGGCAAAACATTGGGTTTGTCCAAGGCTGGAGGCCCACCAGAGCTGGAGCTGGAGTGCCCTTGTAGACCCATTTTCCCAGTTTCCAGCTTTTTCTGAGCCTCTTGCACTGCACAGGACACCATGAGAGCATCTGAGGTGCCATGAAGGGTTCTTTAGATAATGAGAATACATTACCCAAGGGCCACCCTGCTTCCACACGTGCATAACAAGATCCATGATATGCCATTATTTCTCACTCAGAAACAGCCTTTGCTTCTGCTAATTGCAAACTGAACAGCTTTCAGCTATGATGTGCCTTACTTCCTGTGATTAATGTTTCTCTGATAAACTGCTTCTTGTGATGGCCTGTCACCAAGGTATCCATTCCAAAGACACTGTAATAACTAAGCAGATGTGCTGAGCCAAGCATTTCTGCAAGAACTTTTCATAGCTAATATGCAGATAAAGTTCTCAGTGTGTTATTAACAGGAGAAGAAATTCTGAATTTTGCCTAAAAATAAGTATTTTCCAAATCCTCCATTGCTTTTCTTTGTAGAAACCAGCTATACAACCAGCCACCCAATGGTCAGCTGCCCCCCAAGGCCTGTGGACCAGATGAAGCATGTGGTTGTCCTTCTGACAATTTTCCATCTCCAGCTGCTGTCCCAAGACCTCTCAGTAACCCTGCAGCCAGGGGAACTCTGAGAACCAGCAATCTGCCCGAGGAGTTGCGTAAGTGGTTAGCAAATTTGTTCTGTGCAAGATTTTACAGCATGGCCCAACAGCTTTAGGTGGGAGGGCTCCAGAGTGGTGAAGGGGGGGAGGAGAAGGCAGGGGAAATGACACTAAGACAACAAGAAAAGAAAATACCAAGTGTCACCACATCTCTTGGGTGTGAGTGTGGGTTTGGTGGGATGGAATTACCCACTTGAATCCTGAAAACAGAGTGGTCATTAATTGCTTGTTATTTTGTTTACAAAAAGTAAATTCAGATTGTTTTCATGACTCCTTGCTAAACAGGATGTCCCTTTGAGGCAGGAGGGGCTGGAGCTTACAGTAAAAGACTAAAAACAAACAAAGCCTGAGGGATAAAGTGTTTCTGCCTGTTCCAAACCAGACAAATATGTTGAACCCTGACCTCAGTTTCTCCCTGAACTGGTGAGTTTGGAGAGGACTCTGGGACATGCTGAGGGCAGCACAGGCTCTGACTGATATGCTTCTATTGCCACCAGCACCACAGATGCATTCACCTTCCAACTCCTAGGGGAAAGTTAGGTTTCAGAAAAATAACTTATTACTGAATGCCAATCTGACTCGTATGTGAGATGTACCATTGCTGAGAACCCTCCACAGCTCTCGTGAGGTTTTGATTTTTCCTTTATTCTTCATTCTGCGTATCACCTTTCAAATCCAGAGAGTCACACCTCTCTGGCCTGCAGGGGAGTGAGTGATGATACCAGATGCCACTCTTGGATAAACCCTACTTTATCAGTTAGTGTGTCCTAGATGGAGGAATTACTGGGTAAAACAGGGTCATCTGTGGTAGATGCACAGCTGGATTAGATCAGCCAGCTGCTTTACCTTGATGCAAAGCCATGAAAACCCCTCCCACAAGGGCAAGGGCATTGCTGTCACCAGCCATGCACCCTGCCTGCACAGGGTGTTAGTGCTGCTCCAAGGACAGGCAGTGTGACATGCATAAGGGCCCCTCCAGCTCTGTCATGTCAGTGGGTCTGGGGAAAGCTGTGCTGGCTGCAGCCAGTGCAGGTAACTCCAGCTGTGGGTGAGAGCCTAGGCTCAGGTATGCCCAAGCATGGGACAAAGCAGCTCTGGCCACAGGGCAGGGGGAGCAGCAGAGGGATTTACCCTCTACAGCTTGCCAGTAAGGCAGGAGGAGCTCAAATGTAGAGCAGGGCTTTGTGACAGGGGGTTGGTTTCAACACTGAGCCACTGCACTATCCCACATCCATTTTGTAAACAATCCAAAGAGACCTAAGTGGGCAGAACCTGCAGCATGGTGGAGAAGGAGGGCTGTGACAGTCTCACTCTCAGAATGGTGTATTTAAAGGAGGGCTGTGACAGTCTCAGCCTCTGTATGGTGTATTTAAATGTGTTATGTATTCATACAGACTCTCTCTCCCAGGCAAGGTCTTTATAACCTACTCGGTGGATACGGCAGTGGAGGTTATGAAATTTGTGAACTTCCTGTCTATAAATGGATTTCAAACTGCTGTAAGTATTCCTTCCAAAAAAATGGCTTTCAACCAGGGAAGAGGTTTTTTTAAAAAAAGCAGAAGCAATACACTGTCCATTTAAATGTTTTTCTGGTTATCATCACATTTTGTAGGCTAAAGAAGATACAGATAGGATGAACTAGCCTCGGTTTTGCAAGCTGTAACTTAAATGATCTGCCTCTTTGTTTGTTCTTTTAACTGAATTTTGTACTTTGAAATATGCTTTTATAATGATCCTGGAAAATTTCACTTAATAACACCAGATGGGCAATTAATATGAGGTTTTGTGAGCTATTCCATTAATATTGTCTCATATTTGATCTGTAATATCAGGATTACAAAAGGTCAATTTTATGTTCTTCCCATCCTACCTTTTATTTTCTCCAATGCTGTTATATCATTGATTCTTCTATGTAGATGTGAGTAACTTTCTGCTAAAAAAGAACTAAAAGTAGATTCTAAAATTCACACAACTTAATGAAACAGCCTATCTCATGGTTTCGGTTGCTTTGTTATCCCTTTAAAAGTGATTTTGCTTTTTTATACTTTTAAAAGGGATTCTGAAAATCATTGGCCTGAAAAGGTCTGTGTCATACTCTCTAATCCCATAAGCCATTCTGATTTTTACTGAATTTCTCATGAGTTTGCTTCATCTTAGAGGCCCACAGAGGCTCTAGGATTCAGTGTTCATCAAAATCTTGATTCATATTTTCTTATTTCAAGAGCATATGCTACCTGACCCCTCAACCTTCAGTCTTTGGCTCCAATTCAGGAAAGCATTTAAGCAAGTGGCTATCATTAAACTGAATGAGACTCAGTGGGGAGCTTTGCACATGCTTATTTATTTTCATGAATCAAAGATTTTTTTTTACAGAGACTGCAATTATACTTCTCTCCAGCAGTTCTGTACTATGACCAATTCATAAGGAAGCTTCTGGGCACCATAGCTTTACAGAGTAGAAGGCTCATTAATAGCACCTTTGCTGGACAGGCAACACTTGGAGCCTCTTGCAGAGTAACAAATACATCAAAATGGCCCCAAAGCAGGGAAACAAGTGGGCTCTCTGCATTCAGAAAGGGAAAAAGAAAGACTTGAGACATGAGAGCAGATCATTACTCTTATCTCAAAAACTTGGAGAAGTTAATAATTACTCCATTGGTCACAGTCGCTGATTGCTGGTTCCTGGGTTTACTGGCTGTGCAGAGAAGCCAGCAGGGTTGGTCATATTCAGTCCTGTGAAGTCTGTCACTGAAGTCTGGGTAACTGCACCCGGTTATCAGTGACCTGGCTGACTTCCCACCACACACCCTGAATATTTAGTTCAATAAGAAGCTAAAGCTTCCCACTCAGTAGACCCTTGCAGTCAGAAAATAGCAGGCATTTGCAGCTATACAGATGGAGAAGGTGGGCAGCACCTTGTTCTGTCCAGTAAAAAATGCCTGGGAGCTGGGGACTGGCAGGGCAGCCAGTCAAGGGGCCAGCTGAGTGGGAGCCCAGGGATGTGCCTGCAGCAGCCCCTCTCTGCCTGCTGCCTGTCCAGCTTGATTCAGGCTGCATGGAAAGGGGAGAAGTGCATGTTCACATTTTTTTTTCCTAAGGAAATTGGAAATGCTTGTCATAAACAAAGAGAGGAGTAGGTGCTCTATCAGTGCTCTAAAATGGGGAGGAAAGGTGAAGGGATGCTCACTACAGACTCTCATTCTCTTGCAGATTGATATCTTTGAGGACACGGTACGAGGTATTGACATCATTAAGTGGATGGAGCGCTACCTAGGTGATGTATGTAAGGGCAATTTAACCTTGTGTATAGCAGAGGTGACCTGAGGAAAATGGTTGAATTATTCTAATACACAGCAGGGACAGAATGAAAATACAAGACCCCACTGTTGTCTTCCCTGCCCCTGTAGAAATGGCAGAGGTGTCGCAGAGAGAGGCAAATCTCTCACATCTGTATCTGATGGTCCCAGAGCTCTTTCTTTAAGAAATGAAGGGCTAATCCTGGCATTCTTGCAAAATTCTATTGCTGCCTCTTACATCCAGCCTGAAGCTGCCATTGGAAAAGTTATTCCTCCATCCCCTTTTTAAATAGTGGGGTTTAGCTGTGCTTGGTTACACTGATACCTGTATTTCATCCCAGGCTGCATAGTCATGGCTAATGTTCATCCCTCTTACCTGTAGCTTTTATACTGATATCTAAAACTCTGAAGGCTTCTTCTGGATAAACCATCCTACATTTAAACTGGAAATTGGTATTCTCTTGGTTGATATATAGATTTGCTCTCATCACTTTGTATCTATCTAAGCAGTAAACCAGAGATTTATCTTGCTGCCAGTGCTGTTCCCTGCAGCAGCAGCTTCCTCTGAAGGTCCCCTGAGCAGTGAGTGCACATCTCCTTTAGGATCAAGCCAAGTGGTTGGACTATACCAGCACAGCTGGGTGCAAACTGGCAATTCTGTCACTGGACAGGAGCCATCATGGGCTGCCTTCCTTGGATTCTTGCCTTGCTGAGTGTCCACTGGATCTCTGACTCACTCTGGCCAGGTCTCCATGGTTCAGGAACAGGATGACAGAAGTGCTGGACTCTCCTCCACCTGAGCAAGGAAACTCAGCCATCTGAGGCAGCCCTACACAGGTTTCCTGCAGGTGTCCATGCAGGCAGGATACAACTGCATGCAGAGCCAGCCTGGGACCTCTGCCATGGAAATGCAGTGATGCCTACTGGGGCTTGCATCAGGACAAATTAGGCTGGGGCTCACTGTGTGCAATGTAGGTAATGAAACCAGAAGACAGGGTGACTTTGCTTTTGCCAAAAACATCATTAGCACTTAAAATACAAGCTGGCAGATCTCCTCTGGGACTTGTGCACAGTCAGTAGGAGAAACCAGTATGTGCAGAGAACAATCTCCTGCCTCCACCTGAGGATCTTTCTCTGACTACCCACCCCAGAAAAGTTTGGTTTCCCTCACTGACTGTAGAGGCGGTTTCTAACTTCAAAACCCTTACATGTGTGTGGAGGAAGGGACTGCTTGGACACAAGCAGAGGAAAGTGTGCAACTGGGCATGTCTCTTGCAAACCCTCAACATCTGTAAGTGCTTACACACATGTCAAGCACAAGCAAAAGTAATTCAGGAGTATGTTGAACTAGTGAAAGGGATAATGGCTCCTTACCATATTTGACCCTATGGTGGGGCAGATTCTCTTGATACAGCACAGAAGGAAAGAGTTAATTACATGCCTGGCAGACTGTAAGATTTGGAAGCCTTACACAGGCTTCATGTGCTGGGGATGAAAGGCAGGCCCCAGGTAAACACAAGTAGGAAGCTTTCATCTGCTGCATTTCAACTGGCCTGCCATTAAGGAGGAGAGATGTTTCCCAGATATAAAGGATGGCCCCTCTCTGGAAACCTGAGCTCAGTGTGGGGCTGGGATTAAACAGGTCAGAGGCAGGATCTGGGCTGTCCTAAGAAGGCAGAGGAGCACTGCCTTCAGCCCATTGTGACAGAGCTGCCAGGTACCCCTAAACCTGCCCAGCCCCTCCACAACAGCCCCCATCTCTACACAGCCACCTCTCTGCACACTTTGCCACTAAGATCAGCAAGAAAAGACATCATTTCTGCCACTGAGAGCCCTAGAAGTAGCTTCCACAGACCGCTGTCTTTAGCAGCTTTTTGTATAAAATGCCGTAGATGACTAAAGAGATGCACTTCTACATAAGCTGTTGGAAAACATTTGGGTCTGAATTTAAAGACAAAAGTTTTCTGTGTATGCACATAGACACTCTACACTGATAAAAAGTAGCTTTTTATGACAGGGATTCCAAGTGTCAACTGGTAGCTGCTAATACATCTCTTGACATTTGGATTTTCTATATTGAGCTGTTGAGAAATAACGAGGAGAACAAGTGTGTGAGTTCTCCTGTATTTCCTGCCAGAATGAATGAGATCCTCTTGTGTTTGCCAGGAACACAAAGATCACTTAAAACACAAACTGGCAGATTTCCGATCTGCCTCTACGAAACACGCTGCGTTCCTCAATTTCATGAAAGTGCTTTTCTCCCTAACAGAAGACCGTGATGATAATCATAGCAATCAGTCCAAAATACAAACAGGATGTGGAAGGGGCTGAATCCCAGCTGGACAGGGATGAACACGGCTTACATACTAAATACATCCACAGGATGGTAAGCAAGGACATGCTTTTGCTGTTTTACAAAGACTGTCTCTTCTTCTCAAAAGACAAATTTGTCTCCAAATGGCAGGTTCTTTGCTTTGTTTTCCCTAATCCCCATAGTTAAACACCCCTCTTTGGAATTCATTAATCCTTCCTCTCATCAGCTCCGTATGCTCATTAACATCTGCTAAGAGGTTCAAGGAAGAAAAATCCTATTAAACATGCTCATCTTATTTCTTCATATTCTTTATTGTTCGGTGTTTTTCCCCTCCTTCACCTTCTTGAGCCCTTGTACAGCCCTGAGCACAATCTTATCTTACAGTGCCTGACCTTCCTCCTCTAAACCAGCCCCTGTTGCTTCAGCCATCCTGGAGCTGAGATCTTTTCTTAGGCAGCGGTAGAGCTGACTGAAGGATGGAATTGCAAAGCAAAGGCCAGAGATGCAATGTGGGGCTCCTGGGGAGTGCAGAGAGGTGCCAGAGGACCAGACACCCATCTCCACAGCCTGTGACAGGATGTACATTTAGCCCAGAAGAGCCCATAGAGCCATGAAGCTGATCCTTTCTGCCTTGGTTTGCAGTTAGCTGCCTTTCTCAGCCTGTAACCCATCTGATCCCCCAGCTGGAATCCGCAGTCAGGTTTCTCAGAAGCTGAGCTCTCAGCAGTACCTTGCTGTCCATACCAGCCCTGGGATGTCTGTGTCCAGGGCCATGGGGAACAGGCTGGGCCCTGGCTCAGACACAGACCTGGCCTTTGGATGAAATCTTCCATCCATCTGTAGGCCAAACAGGGATGTTAGTCAAGTCAGGCTGCACCAGTTTGCGATGGATTTCATGGGATTGCACCTGCAGCTAAACCCACAATTATTTCACACCATGAAACTGAATTTTCAAGAAATGTTGACAGATCTTTCCTGTATCCTTTCTGTAGCAATGAAGAATTAGATTAAGTGGCCAAACCAAACAACACCGAGTCCACCAGCAATAGATCAACTCATTTAACAGAAGAGCAGTTTGAGTAAGCAAGGAATGTTTTTATACATAGGGTTCAGATGCATGCAGAGAAAAACTGTCGTGTTATTACAGTAAAACTGGCTTTTTGTTCTGTTCTAGATGCAGATTGAATTTATACAGCAAGGAAGTATGAACTTCAGATTCATCCCTGTGCTTTTCCCAAATGCCAAAAAGGTAACACACATGCATGCTTATATACTTTCCACAGGATTAAGTGCATATTATTTTGATCACAGTGCAGCAGATGGAATCCTAAAACCAAAACACTCAATTTCTTGGTTCTTAACAGCCTACAAGTAATATTCAAAGCTTATAGGTTTATGTATTCCAAAGTTCATAGGTTTGTGTACATGCAAATAAAAAACATTTCATCCACAACATAAATCAGCGTATAAATGTATTTCTGATTATGAATGTACAGCTAAAACTCCAATTGCCTTGTGCACTGAAAGAATTTAAATGGAGAGGGGCAATCTATCCAGGAAGCACGCTTTTTATATTAACCCTTTTATAATTTGTCCAAATGCAATGCTGATAAGTGAGATGGGCAGGATTTATGACTGATGTGAAGAGAGGGTCTGGAAGAGGGTGTGTTGGGAATATAAAAATAAAGAGTATAATAAATACTAAAGTACTAGGCTGTTTCTTGAACTGTGACAGGCCCATCAAAGGCAAACTAAGATTTTTTAGGACTTGCAATTTCATCTGCCCTCCTTACTTGTTTTGAAGATTCATTTGAGAATAAGAAATAAGTAATGCAACAGATTCCTATCTCTTCTACCTCACTCAGAAAATCTCCTGAATTTTTACAAAGACAAAAATATTAAAAGACTTCAGTTATAGTTTTCCCAATCTCCTGCATTGTATCCATGTTTACTTTGCATAACTAAATGCTTTGTGCACTGTTGGGTAGCTATCATGTTGCCCCTAGGTACAGCTGTATTTAAAAAAATATAGTAAAATACATTATATTTCTTTGGGTCCCCAAATTTTGTATCATCAAAATTTAAACAATGTTATCAATGGTTTAGATTTTATCAAGGCTGTGCAGTCCCACCGCACTTGTGGATTTTAGTGTAATGAAGTTCTTTATTTAAGCAGCAATTTAAGATCAGAAATTTGAAAATATGTCCCTGGGTTTGTAAATTTTGTGAGGTCCTGTGAGTTGAACAGTACCTCTGGTATTTCATGTCATTCAGATCCCTTCCTGAATGATCTCAGTCTGCTGCTTACCTTAAGTAAGTACTTGGAAGACAGCAATGGTGGGAACTGGGCAGGCCAAAGGCAGAGGAGCACTCAGCATTTTTTCAGTCAGTGTTTGATGGAGGAAAAGGGCTCCTGACCTTGGGGCTACTTGAGTGCCCACCATGTGAACAGACCACACAGTCTAGAGCCACTTGGCACCTTAAGGGTTGCAGAGAAAAGTGTTCCAGGAGGCACTATAGCTGTCTTGGGGCTCTGAGACAGAACAGTAAGTTATGTTAATTTGGGCTCAACTTTATTTCTTAGAAAACTCTTTAGTGTATAGCAGCAGTTCTCTCAGACAGTGGTCTGTAAGGAATTTCCAGGGTTGGTTTATCCAGCTGCCTCTATCAAGGCATCAGGCTCCTGGAATCCTTCCTGTCCCTTCTCTGTAGTCCACATAACCCTTCAGTTTTTCAAGAGGTGCCTTTCTCATTAAATTATGCAGATCAGCATTTTCTACTGCTGTTAAGCTTTAGTCTCTTTCTCAGCATAATCCTTTGGTACCTCACCTACCTTCATCTAGCTGCTTAATGATAATGTAACTGGGGACATGATGGGTGGAAGGAGAGCACCAGAGCCTGAACAAGTTGCAGTAATGAAGTCTGGAGGCAGTCAGAGGAAGTGAGGTACCTAAAAACCTGCCAAGTACATGGACAATTGGATTATGTTGGTGGGCAAATTACTTCAATTTTGTCTTTTTTGTACTGTCCTTTATATGTTCAAGTGTTAGCATAGCTGGCAGTGGAAAAAAGCAGAAAATTAGGATTTGGAGGTTTCATCTGGGGATGGGGCTATTAGATGAGTTAATCTCATACACAGCACATCATAAAGCACTGCTGGTATGTGAAAATTAGTCGACCTCCAACAGGAAAAGATCTGTGTGATCCAAGGAGCGTTCATTAGGAAACTGAATAACGAGACGAGGAATGCGCAACACATGGTTAAGGTGGAACTGGCATTTCCATCTTCCAGTCCTACACTGCTAAAGGAAACATGGGTCTTGCTGGTTCAAGGTTTGCACCACAACAAACCACAGAAATGTGTCCTCCTCATCTGGAGGAAGCTTAATGCTTTGGTCATCACCTGATGGAGATGTCAAACCATGCTCTGCTGTCACAGCCCTGAACAGTCCTGTCCTCTGCACCAATGCACTCTGCCCTCTTCCTTCCAGTTTGAACTGTGGAGTTATCAAATACTCTCCCTGTGGCATAGAGAGAATGTCCTCCCAGCTCACAGATACACAGCCAGATTTTAAAAATGTAAAGGATAGTAACAATTTTCCCATTACTCCCACCTGCAGTGACAGATGCTGTTGTGTGGCAAGGAAAAACCCCTTTCTCACTCTGGATAACAACAGCAGCTAGAGCTACCCTTTACCCCTACACACCTTCCTCAAGTTAAAACTATTGCCAGAGCTGATTCATGTCCAGGTGCTTTTGGCACTGATTTCATTATGGAGGGGATTAAACAAAACTGCACGAGCAGTTTTGGAAGCAAGGCACAGAGCTTGTCTCTGGATGAATAGCACCTCTCTCATGATATCCCCGCATGCTGATTTCTTACCTACTACACATTTCTCACACTAATTTCCATCTTAACTGAGTTACCCACGTGGGCCTCTATCAAATGCATTTCTGCAGTCTAGACTGACTATATCTCCTGTATTTCCTTTGTCAAAAAAATGTAGTTTCTTGTCAAAGGTAGAGAAAGGGCTCATTTGGTAAAACCCCTGCCATATTTAATTGCATTTCCTTCTATAGCTCTTAACAAGATTTAGTAAAGAAACAAATTCCATGTAACAATGGTATGTATGTGCATGTAAACATAGTTATCTTTCTTTCTCCCAGTCACATTTGTCTCTTGGCCAATTCCAAAGAGCTTTGTCAAAGGATTTAAATTCACAAAGATTAAAATCCGTTCCTATGCCAAAATAAAAAGACTAGCAGGTGGAGGCAAGAAGCCTTATTTTTGCTCCTACCAAAGGGAATGCTGTGGGATCTTACCCCTGTGCAGTGAGATGTCCATCTGGAAGAACAACCTTCACTTCAGGAGATCACTGACCAAAGCCTATCCTTTCTCAGCCACTGGAGAAAGAGGAAGGTCAGGTTTGATAGATACCTCTGCCAGTCACAAAGCTGCTTGTTCAGCAGCCTAGGTGAGTTCACACTAATGGATCTGTAGGTGCCTGTGTGACTCACCTCCTTCTTCCTATACATAAATCCTGTAGCTCTAACAGAGTGGCTGCATCAATTACCACAAACTGCTCCCTGAGCAAGGAAAGTGATGCAGCCTTGTTCCTACAGCTGTACAGGCCAAGGAAAAGACAGCCAATTTGAGAAGCAGGATCATGGCAATGAAAGGTTTGGACTGCAGCTCGGCCGTGTGCTGGCAGCAGGACGTGTGCAGCCCATGCCAGGGCATCCCCTGGCGAGGTGCCAGAGATGTGCATGCCAGCAGCTTTTTGCTCTGTCCTCATGGAGCTAGCTCCACTAGCTTGACAGGAACTGTGCTGCTCCTAACAGGGGCTACCTTGGGAAAACACTGCTAAATAAGAGGTCCAGGGACCAAGTGCTGGATGTCCTGGCTCCTCATGTTGCTTACCTGCTGTCTCATTTTGGCTAGGTTCTGGTGTCTCCAATTCCAAAATAAATCTCTGTCTCATGGTGACCATGAACTGGTTTTGGTCAAGGATCTGTCCCTCTGTTAATTAGTGGTATTATAATAGCCCTTCACCCCTAACATCCAGACTGTCCATATGGAAACCTCCCAAGGCTGTGGGAACATGGGAACATGTGGTCTGAGCAGGCTCATCTCCATTAGCTGGCTGTCACTCTCCAGTGCCATGGTGGACCCAGCTTCATTATGTTAATGGACATTAGCCAACCCCTGTGAAGAACTGCACCTTTTCCAGGGTGCAGGGAATGGTGGAAGTTTGACCCTGCTAATCTGGAGATGCATTAGTCTCTCCTCAAGCTCAGCATCAGCCTCAGCCTTCTGCTCAGTTGGTCAGAGCACACCCTGCTTGGTAAAGAAAGGTGCAAGGGGAGGGAGAAAGGGCTACCAGCATGTGGAATGTTCCTGTGGGGTCCCAGGCTTTCCCTACTGGTCCTCATCCCAATACTGAACATGCTGTATGGATTCTTTAGCAGCTACCAAGGTGGCAGCCTTTCCTTGCTAGGAGCACTGAAATCTCTCCTCTCCTCTCCTCTCCTCTCCTCTCCTCTCCTCTCCTCTCCTCTCCTCTCCTCTCCTCTCCTCTGTTTATTTTCACAAGCTTTTCGATGCTTGTCATTGACATCAGACTTCATTTGAAACATGATGAAATTAGCCAATGTGATGGCAGAAGAGAGACAGGCAAGCTGTGGGATCACACAAAGTTCATTTATTTAGGAACCCAAATACAATTCTGAAGCCAAATTAACATTTCTTGTTGTTACAGGAAGTGCCTAGAACAGACAGAATTAAATCTTCCCTGGCAGGGTGTGACGGAATCTGAAAGATTCTGGTAGAGATTCAGAAGGATTTATGGGATTTAGCTTTTATTTTCCTTGTGTTTTCTTTCAGGAGCACGTGCCTACCTGGCTGCAGAACACTCACATTTACAGCTGGCCAAAGAACAAGAAGAACATCCTGTTGCGGCTGCTGCGGGAGGAGGAATACGTTGCCCCTCCAATAGGACCTTTACCAACACTCCAGGTTGTGCCGCTATGAACATTTTAACTTCAAGCACACTACGAGTGGTTGTTAAAGGCTTGTTCCTGGCAGGGAGCCAACACTCTTCCAGATGGCTCTTTCTGATGACAGAAGACTCTCTTTCTGCTAAAGGAATTGGTTGTCTTGGGTTACTCAGGCTCAGCTTGTTCTCTACCATGTTAAACATCTATTTCCAAAGCTGATGGGGCAGAACTCTCTTCTCTAGATTTTTTAATAAGCTACAAATGGAAAGAATGCCCACTTTTATTTTAACATCTGGTTTTAACATATTCCTTTTATTAGTCATTATAGCAAACAAATACCAGAAATAATGTTGCAATAAGTGTAAAATAAAAATTACGTCCTCCTTTTTGCTCAGGGTTTCTTTAAAGATATTCCTGCTCTGTATAGCAATATTGAACCATCAATTTGTATATACACTATTAAATATATTTGCCTTTTGTAAGGCAATCTTATATACCATGTCCACTTCTATTATTGCTGGGGACAATGGAGAAATGGGTTGGGTAAGGCAGATTTTCCTTAGCCTGTCTTGCATAAAGACAGGCTCTTGTCATTTTCAATTAGAGGACTTTGAGATCTGGAATCTCTAGAGTTCCCTTTCCTTACAGCTTGGTCCCTCACACCTCCAGCCTGCTGCAGCAGTAGTCCCCACAAGCAGAGCTGAATGCATGCCCACATGTGTGCTGCCAGTGCCATGGAACACTGCAGTGTTTTTTATGGCAGGCCTTCAGCCTCACTATTGCTCTTCAGCCCTTATTTAAAACAGAGCATGTCAAAGGACAATTGGCATTTGGGAAGCCAGCAATTGTTAAGAGAAAGAACATTGACTCCTACAACTTGCAGTATGCAGTATGGAACAATAAAGTAATCAAAGATGGAGAGCCACAGGGTGCTGGCCACCAGGATGGCTCAACAACATCACGTCTGCTAAAATTAAACATATTTTAAAACAGACCACAAAAGCACGACTTTGGTGAGGGTTTTTTGTTTTTTAACAGCCTTGATCTTACTGAGGTAACAGTGGACCGTGTTGGCTTAAAATTCTGCAGCCCTTATTCTTTAGAGCAGTCGTACCAATCCTCCCCAGCTTTCATATTTGTCATGGAATGACCCAAACACAGCTTTATAAAAAAGTACATGTGTTTGGTAGCCTAAAAAGAAAATTAGCCCAGAAGTTGATACTCCTAGTACAGTATCCAAATTATTTAATTAGCTTTCCGTGGAGGTGGTGCCAGCATGGTGTGTTGATGCAGCACATGCTTTCTGGTGCTTATGGAGAAAAAATTAAGATTTTCCTTCAGCAGACTTGTGCAAAAATAATTGCAGCCATTTAAGAGAAGGGTGTATTCAGTCTTGTCAACTCCAATGATTTTTATTGTAGTATTTTCTGTGCCTCTTGCCACTCCAGTTTCAAAAGGGAAACTAAAGAGCTGAAACAGGCTAATACCTGATGTGCCAGCAGCTTCCTGAGAGGGCACAATAAAACTGTGTTAGGCAGTGGCACTCCTTGGCACCTACTTACATGTGGGGAAGGGAGGTCTGTTTTTCATGTGATAAATTTTCTATTAAGAAAATAATTTTCTAGTATGTGGTGACAGCCTAAAATCATGACAGAAATTTATCTTAAATGGTCACCAAATTAAACACAGGAGTGGGATTGTGGGTCGACATTTGGGGTCACCTGGAGTGCACTACAACATTGAGCCCAGCCTCCAGGTTCAGTGAGTCTTCTGAGATGCTGGGGCATTATCTGCCAACTCAGTATGGCTGCCTCTGTTACCTGAAGTGTTCTAGTACTATGAATTAGTCTGTCTCAATTGGCTTCTGAGCCTCTTAGCCAATTTCTGCCACATTTAATAGGGAGGGCTCAAAGATAGTAAGTATCTGTGAGTTTCATGGAAAGCCTTCCCCAAGCAAAGAGCGAGCCCCAAACCCACATGCTGAGGAGGGAGAGGTTCTGTCTCTTCCCAGAGGTGGACAGCTGGCCACCCTGGCCCTGGCAGGGGGCTGGGAGGCCTCCTGGGCTTCACAGCCTGCACAAGTCTGCAGGAGAGAAGCATGTGGGGAATGAGGCTGTGTCAGTTTAGCTGCTTGCAAAGCAGCGTATTAGGGAGTGCAGTTAAGCATTCAAAATGATTAGTGAGGCCGGGTAGTAAATTCCTTTCATCATTTTGGCTGTCATCTGAAAATATCTGCTCTAGATTTACCACAGATTTGCTTGGTTTGGGCCAGGGAATTTCATTAAGCAATTCCTGCATCATGTGATGCACAAGGTTGCATTAAATGGTCCAGTGATTATTTCTGTTCTGTTTGAACGATCCTTTTCTGCAAAACAATACTAGCAGAGTGAGGAAGAAAAAGAAAAACTAAGCTTTGCTGTTTGGGAAGTACAAAGAGCCCAATCTATTTAACTGCTGGGGCCTTTTTTTTTTTTTTTTTTTTTAAATTTTAATCGAATAACAATTCCCAGGATTCATTGATCTTTACATTAGTTAGAGCATCCTACAAGGACAGAAACCATGATGGGGAGAGTGTGAGTAATGAGCTAGCAGCCTAGTGAATCATTTCCCCTAAAGCTTTGTATTTGTAGAGAGACAGATGGTGGGAGCTGTGAAGAGGGAGAGGCAGGAGAGGTTTCTGCAAACAGCAGAAGTATAGAGGATGGTGAGGAAAGGAAAAAAGAAAAAAGAAATAATCAGCAGGTAAGGAAGAAGAAGAGGCTGAGAATACACCAGCTGTTTCAAAACGAATGCATTAATGTTAGAATGGATTAGGTTTAAGGGAAAATACAAAAAGGAAATTGCAGAAAACAAGTGCTTTGTGGCTGAGAGAGGGAAAATTTACTAAGAGCAGCCCTAAATATATATTTGTAGATGAACTCTTGAGTCAGTTATTAAGTGCAAATAACAGAGAAGCAGCTAAAAGGATGCAAGGCTCCATCCTGCAGGCTGGCAGTGCTGCTGCCCAGCTGGAGCTGCCAAGCTGCAGGTGCCCACAGAGGCAAAAGGCATCACTTGGATGGCAACAGCACCAGGGGTTTTTCTCACAGCACCTGTAAATTTGCAAGGGGTGTGTGGGAAAGGAAATCCATTGTCCCTAACATGGCAAGTAAGCAAAGCAAAATAATTACATACTTAACACTGGGATGAGTGCAGCATTAAGATAGAAACAGAGGATTTAGAGACAGCCTGCTTTGGAGGCTTGCCAAAATTCAGATGACATTAATGCATGTAAAGGTTCTGTTGTGCAAGTCACCTGTGTGACAAAAATAGGGTTGCAAAATTTTATCCCACAGTTAATTTGGACCTCTCCAGTACAAAGTTAATTTAATAAAGCCTTGTACACAGGACAAGAAATGCTGCCCTAAGAGCTCATTTGCTCCTGGTAGGGTCTTAAATGGCATCATTTGCTGCCATTTAAGAAAATAAATCAGTGGATTTCCCTGCAGCCTCTCTGGGGCCACCAGCAAGGCAGGTAATGAAACTGGCTCATAAAAACAGCTCCACCAAAGGGTGCCTTGCTGAGAGCCTTTCCCTCATCTCCAGCCACTGACCAGGCTGCAGGTAGCAAAGACATGGGCATCTCAATAACAGCATCAGTGTGGGCAGCAAACTTGGGCAGTGTGGGCAGCAAACTTGGGCAGTGTGGTCAGGAAGCTCCTCACTGAGATAAGAGAAGGAGCAATTCCCACCATTTAGGATGCTCTGGGTTGTCAGATGGAGGCACTGGTAAAGCTGACAGGCACCCCTTGTCTTAAAAGGGAAGGGGATGTGAGAGGGAGGAATTGGGAGCTCTGTGGCCTTGCAGTGCCAGAGGTCTGCTGTGGCAATGAAGTGAAACATGTCTCAGAGGGTTCTCTCCTTCAGTGCAGAACAGGCACACCTTATCTTCCAAAGCAAACATATCCCTTGTTACAGTTTGGCTTTAATTTAACAGGTTCCTCCATGCCCACATCTGTAGCAGTCTGATAATGTTTCACCTGTGTTTGGGAAACAGATCCTGCCTGGAAGGTCACAGCTTTTGTCAGCCTCCTCCTCCACCACCTTTTATCACGATGTTGCTGCAGGGAAGCACTGCCACAGCACCCAGTTTGCAGTACTGATGGGCTGGCACTGCTGCTTCTCCCCAGAACCCCCAGCATGGGCCTTCTGCAGAAGTGCCAGGCTGGAACACAGCACATCAGTATCACTACACAGGTCGTGTGTCACTTCTCCTCGAGCAATGGATGCTCACACAGTCCCCTCAGCCAGCATGCACCACACTGGCACACGAACACCTCACAAAAGTCACTTGCAACACCCTCTCTGAGACATCAGACACACCTCTCCCATGTGCATATTACAACCAGTGCAGAAGAGAAATGCCTGTGTTTATGTGGTATTTGCATTACAAGTTATTGCTCACAGCAAGAGGTGTTCTCTGGGCTGCAGGGAAGGACATCTGAGCAAGCAGAGGCTCCACTGCCATGGCAGAGGAGTGCTGGATGCTGCTGCCCACAGAGGCAAAGCCAAACCAGGCCCTGAGATGCCAGAGCACAGAAGAAGGCAGCGGAGTAGCAGCCTGTCCAATCCCCCTCCAAATGAGGCCAAGAATAAGATGGAATTGCTTAGCCCCACTCCAGCCTCCATGGGATCAGAGCCCAGCCTCAGTCTGATCATGGAACAGTGCACAGACCACCAGCTGTGTGTCCCTGTCTGTGGCCAAGATCACTTGTAAACAAACAAAAAACCATCTCAAGCTAAGTTGCCCAGCCTAACCAGATCTGCCAGCTGGGCTGCATTTCAAGGGCTCGCTGATGTGGAGGGGACCAAACAAATACAAACACACACAGTCCCTGCATCGTGGCTCTGAGCACTGCATGCCAATGCACAGATCCATGCAAACGGGAAAAATGTCACCAGCAGCAAAGGCAGGGTTTTTAAAAACGTTTGTTCTTTATTGAAAAGTATCAGGGACTTCTCCAGTTTCCAGAGTGAGGGGAAAGTGCCTGCTTGCCCACCTAACCCTGAGGTAAGGGGAATTTCACAGCAACCTCTGCAGACACCAACTCCTTGGGGCTAATGGACAGATCCAGGGAATCTCAGGTGAAACTTGAATGGACCCAGTGGATTTAAATCCCTCCAGGACTGGCTGTTGTGGAAGGGGGACCTGCCAAGGAGTAGGACATTTCCCAGGACCTACTTTGATGGCTGGGCAGATGAAGCCCTCTCTGTCTGACTTGTACCACTCCTCTAAGAATGGGAAAATGCACACTGTTGGAAAGCTCCAGAGAACCTCAAAAGTGTGGATTTTCTGGGGTGCAGAAGAAGGTACTGTAACGGCAGACACTGGACAAACACCCCACCACCCAAAAAACTACTAAAATAGTTAA